ATCTAGATGGTTCCAGGTAGAAGAGCAACTGGCAAGGTTGTCCAATTTACACAATCTCCCAGTCATTACTAAAGAAGAACTGAACCTAACTTAATATGTTTTTCTCCATTGCCTATAGATCTGGGATGGCTCTAAAGATAGATGGGAATTTGAATCATCTAGCTCTTCACTGAGATCTCTGGATGGCAATCCATACCTTCACAGCACTGAATACCAGAGACGGTCCCAAGCCAGGGATAAAGCTCATAAGGGATCTCATTTCATACTCCACTACTAAGATGTTCCCCATGCTTCATTTTAAAGTGTATGTCTAGCCCAATTCTTTTTTTGAACATGTAAACAGATAAAACTGCTGTCATATTTTTATTAGTGTGTGTGTCCCTGCTATTTACATCTTCATTCTTTATTTATCCTGGTAAGCATTAATAACCGTCGTGAATACCAGCCTTAAAACCCAATTCAACGAAAATTAAACGTTTTCCCTTGCAGTGGGGCTGCCCCTGCACTGCAAGGGTTAACTGCTCATTTATGCCTAGGGGAGAGGAAAAAGCTGTTTCCCCCCACATGATCCCCACTCACCCGAATTCAGCTCTCTCTTCTCCCCCTCCGATTCGACTAGGACTGTGCCTCGGTGTCCTCACGTACAATGTCGTGCTATGGAGCCTGCATTGTATTTGATGTCAGCAGTCTGCCAAAGCAAAGTGAGAAGAGCCTGCAGGGACCGGTCTAGCAGCCTAAAGGGAGTTGATGGGGATCATGTGGAAATGACCATGGTAAGGGTTTACAGATATTCCAAGATATAATCCCCTTTCATATGTATGCATTGTAGTTACGCATAGTAATACTCACTGTGTTGTGAAGTTGTCCTGAGTCAGGTGTGGTGCTTTGGCAGCCCATTCAAATGAGCGCTCTACCTCAGCACGTGTGTTAATGCACAAAATACCACATGTTGCTGTGCGTGTAGTATGGCAAGTGTGGTCAAACTTGTGTTACCACAATGCAGACAGACGGTACCCAGGGAGCCATCTGTGAATTATGGTCAGCTGCATTAAAATAAATAAATAAAATGGTCTGCCTTAACACAACGCACATTAATGCACAAAATACCACACATTGCCATGCACCCTGCACAAATGTTAAGGGGGACTTGTAGTTAGACTTTTCAACAACCAACAGGCAGCAAGGACAAAGGCTGGCGTATTGAACCTGTCACATGTTTACCCATTTATTTAGCCAAGAACAAAAATATATGATCAGGGTGCGTTATGTTCTTTCCAACAATTACAAGCAATTTACTCATTACCTAATATACTTGTATAAATATTTACAATTAAAGCATGCGCTTATTGTGCATCCAGGCGTTCGAGAGGTTTGTATTAGTATATATATGGGTATAGATAAAATCTTTAATGCAAGTATGACAAGAGGGTTGATTTAAAAAATTTACTCAAGCTTATTACCTGGGGTTTTGAGTAAGTCCCCTATGAAATGTAAAGTGGGTTGGGAACTGGATTTGGGGCCACTAGATGATTTCCTATGGAGGGAGGCGTTGCTTTCAATCCAATTAGTTTCACCATCTGCATCACATAAATTAAACACAGCTCTATATTGTACATAGAACATACCGTAAGAGATTCGTGGAGATGGAGATAACAAATGACATTTAATTTGGTGGCAGTTGGCCCACTGTTATTTATGACCATATTCCTAGAGTACAGAATATTAACCAGAGATGAACATTAAAGAGACCGTGTGTCCAGCCCATTGACTTTTGCAACAATTGTCTATAAGAATCTCTTACGGCCTAAACAAAGCCAACATAAGCCCGTGGATAAACCTGCAGAGCTGGATACTTCTTCAGGGAAAATAGGAGCTGCTCTACAATAGTCATTTAACAGTGACAAAAATCAGTAAATATGCAAGACAGTTATACATCTCAGAAGTAGGGATGCGCCGATACTGGTTTTACGTTATCGAGTACAAGTACCGGTATTTATTTATTTTTTGGTACTCGCCGATACCGAATACTGGAAGCCGGACGGCATGTAAAGACTCGCCGCCTGGCTTCCCGATTAGCAGGGAAGCCATCCCCATGCTTTCTCTTCACTAAGTGACGAGAAAGCATGGAGCCAGCTCTCTGGCCAATAAGGAAGCCGGGTGCCGTCTAATGACGTGGCGCTTGGCTTCCCGATTTGCAGGGCGCCATGTAATGACGTGGCGCCAAGCTTTTTGATTTGCCGGGCGCCGTGTAATGACGTGGCACCCGGCTTCCTGATTTGCCCGGGAAGCCGGCTCCATGCTCCCTTGTCACGAGGTGACGGGGGAGCATGAAGCCGGCTTCCAGGCCAATCAGAAAGCCGATCTTGATTGACCAGCTTCCCGACCAATCAGGAAGCCGGGCAGTCATTACACGCTGCCCGGCTTCCTGATTGGCCGGCTCCATGCTCCCTCATCACTTGTGATGAGGGAGCATGGAGCCGGCTTCCCGGCCAATCGGGAAGCCAGGCAGCATGAAATGACTTGCTGCACGGCTTCCGGATACTGGAAATATCGGGCTAGGCATCGGGGCGAGTACAAGTACTCGTCGAAATACTCGGCATCGGCACCGATACTAGTATCAGTATCGGTGCATCCCTACTCAGAAGTATACTACAAGTAGTAGAGGTCAGATAGTCATCTGCTCCAGATGGAAGAATTCAAAAGCATCAAAATATATATTTTAGCCTTCACTAAGCTGGGAGTATTAGTACATTTTAGCAAGGACAGGAAGCGCTGTTTATACCGTTTGGAACTAAACTAAAGTTGCCCATACACTATCCAAATACTGTATATAATATTTCAATGTATGACACCCTTCCAGCCAGCATCCCTCCATCAGCTGATTGAAGGAGCCGATGGAAAAATCTTTGATGCAACAGAGTCGGCAGCCAACGAGCCAATATCAGCTGCAATCCTTGAGTAGATTATTTCTACCATACCAGAGATTTTGCATTATGAACTGACTGAAACATACATACACAGATAATAGTGGGCAATATTTTGTCATCCAATCCTTCAAATTAATCTGCCATATTTCATAAACTGTAAATTGTAAACTTCAATCACTAAAATCTTGCATAAGCTTTAAAGAAGAACTCCGGGCAGAATGTTTCTTAACCCTTGCAGTGGGCCTACCCCGACACTGCAAGGGTGAAGTACTTGTTTTTGTCAATAAAAAGTTATACTTGCCTAAACCTCGGAGCCTTAAGGTGCCCATACACCTTTACAACCAGCGCAAGACTTTTGTCTTGCGCTGGTTGTAAGCTAATTAAAAGCTCGTACGATCTGCCCATCTTGGACAGGCAGATCGTACTTGCAATCATCGAAAGCCCGCCCCGCAAAGGGGCGGGCTTCTGATGACTGCAATGCTGAACGGGCCGTGTGCGCTTACGCACATCGGCCCGTTCGGCATTTGTCTTACGAGCATGCCACAAACCCGCCGACAATCGTACGATTCTCGGCGGGTTTTCAAACATGCTCGTTAGACAGAAGACGCGCGACCGTACAGTAGAAACGTTTGCACGCCTTCCATACACCTTGCGATAATCGTACGATCGCGGGATTTCCCGCAATTATCGTAGGATAATCGCATGGTGTATGGGCACCTTTGGACCGGACCCTGGAGCCTCTATTCACCTCCACTGCAGCGGTCTAAGGATCCTTGAGTCATGGCGTTCTATACCAGGGCTGCAACTAATGATTGATTATTTTCATCATCGATTAGTTGGCCGGTTATTTTTCCGATTAATGGGATAAAAGACAAATAAACACCATCCTTCATTTTAAATAAAATACACATATGGAGTGTTACAAAGTTTACTTCAGAAAAAAACTGCATGCACAATTTTTTGCAATCGCACTGCACTGGAACGCACGGCATCGCAGTACAGTGCGTACCAGTGCGGGCGATCACACTGCAGTTGGGAAGCCCGTTTGGGGTGCCACTGAAATGAATGGCACTGCAACGCACCTCCTGCAGCAGAACTTGTCAGGCCGAAACCAAAAATTACTTTTTTTCCCCATCTTTTTTTTTTAAATAATTGTAATGTAAGCACATGGCGCTTGAATAGCATCAGCCAGGGAATGACATCAGCCAGTGGCAAGATTCCTCAGATGGCAGCTGAATGTAAATATTGCAGGTAGTGGGCTATTGGAATAGCCAGCCTGCTATTGGCCATTTCAGATTGCAATAACCAATACCAGGCTGGCTATTGGGCCTACTCACTGCTTGCTGTGCCCTCCTCCCAGCATGGAGGAGAGAGCTAGGGGATCCAACCAACTAATCGATAATGAGAATAGTTGACAACTCGATTAGTTGGTACAGCCCATTTCTATACACAGTGGGAGGACGCTGAGGAACATAACAATGCTGCAGCGTAGGAGGAGAATAAATGCTTTAGGGCCCATTTACAATGTTGCTTTTAAACGCACGTGATGCAGCGCGCCAAGCCGTATGTGCCATGGTTCAATATAGAGGTTGTGACACTTTTCTGGCAGTAATAGAAAGGAACGCACCTAATTCATGCATGACAATCTTGTGACAGTTCCATTGGTGGTTCCGACGCATGCCACAAATTAATCCCCGCCCGCCCATACTAATAATTGGGCACCCAATTACTACACCACCCCTCCTTCCTGTACTGTGCCACCCCCTTCCCCGGCACCGTGCCACCCCCTTCCCCGGCACCGTGCCATTCCCCCCCGTACTGTGCAATCCTCCCTCCTGTTCTGTGCCATCCTCCCTTCTGTACATCCTTCCACCTTGTACTGTGCATGCCACCCACCCCACATCTACTGTGCCCCCCTTTACTGGATGAGGACTACATCCTCTTCCCCCCCATGTACCGTGCTCTCCCCCTCTCCTCCATACTATATCATCCTCCCCCTTGTACAGTGTTCTGTTCCCCCTGTACTGTGCCATGCTGTTCTTCCAATGTACTGCCCCCCCCGTGGTCACTCACTCTTGCTGGCAGCGATCAGGTTCTTGCCATCCTTCACCAGGTCTTTGATGAACTTGTTGGTTCTGTCCAGCTCCGCCTCGTGTGCCCGGATCCTCTCCCGGAGCCAGGGGCTGTCCAGGTAGCATTCACTGAACTCCAAGGGCTGCAGCCCCATGATTACACGGCTGGCTCAGCTCGGCGCTGCCTCCTTGGAAATCCCTTAATAGGCAAAGCAGAAGCAGCGGCACAAAAATAGTCGGCCGGGATCACAGGGGGTCAGAGCGGATCTCAGGGCCGGACACGCCGCTCATTCCACACAGCAGAGCCCGGAGATAGTACACGGGAAAGTTTCCCGTTCATTCAGAGTGTACGGAGCGGAGAATGGGAGCCGAGACTCACAGCACAGCCAACATTCCTCCACACACAGGCCGCCCACATCCCTCCCATCAACACCATGGAAGAGACTCCTTGTATCCTCCTTCTACTCCTCCCATGTCCTTCTTGTCACCTCCTCTGACACTTGTCACCACACTGCCCCCTCCCTACACATGGACGGATCCAGGTCTCATGTCCTCAACCTTGTATGATGTCTGACCAGGAAGTATGAAAAGTGTGCTCCTTAAAGGGGAACTCCAGCCATGAACACTATGAAAGTAGCAATAAACACTCCTCTTTTTTTATGGTATTCACTTATATCAAGGCAACCTCCAGTATATTTTGCAGAATATATCACCATTCTCATTGCTTATACCTTGACGTTGAGGTCAGTGAGCATGGAGGTCACATGACCGCCAAGTCAGGTCCCTCATCCCACTGATTGCACAGCACTTTACATATGGTCTCTTCCCTTTTCATGCAACTGCGCAACTGGGCCCTGTTGTGGATTAAAGGAGAACTATGAGGCGAGTGCTTTTCACTCACCTCATAGTTCTAGCCGACCTGTGACAATGAGACTGTCACAGGTCGGCTCATTAGATCGGGAGGTGAGCAAACACATACCGGCGCTGGCTTACGTCTCGATCCTGTCACGGCTCTCTGCCGTGACAGGTATACTGCGGCGTTTCAGTATACAGTGAGCTACAGCTCGCGGTATACTGAGCCTAAGGTGACGGGAGGACGCTAGTTTGTGTCCTCCCGTTACCCTGAGGAGAACTATGGGGAAAAGCCTTACCCCATAGTTCTCCTTTAACCGCTTGAAGACCAGGTGTTTAGACCCCTTTCCTGGCCAGGCCATTTTTCAGTGTTCAGCGCTGCAGTACTTTGACTGACATTTATTCCGTCATGCAATGCTGTACTGAAATTAATTTTATACAATATTTTGGGGAGAGATAGAGCTTTCTTTTGGTGGTATTTATTTAATCACCACTGCGGGTTTTATTTTTTACTATATTCAGGAGAAATTACTGAAAATTTTGAAAAAAAAAAGTTTTTTTTAACATTATGTTATAAAACAACTAATATTACCAACTTTTTTGGTAAAATATAAAAAGACGGGGTCACGTCGGGTATATAGACACCAAACATGTCAAGCTTAAAAATTGTGCGCACTCGCAAAATCGCAAATAACTAGCATATCCAAAATTGGCCATAGGCGAAGCTTTAAAAGCTTTTACCGCTCATCAGTTTAGTGTTATCAGTACTCCCGGCCAGCCGTGTATACACAGCGGCTGGCCGGGAGGTAGTTAAAGTGCGCACCCTAGTAGCAGCTTAAATAGTCACATGACCGCCCCATCCCAATAACAACATGCGTTCCCTGTAGCGTACCCATCACAGGCTGAAGTGCACATGCAAGGGTGGCTCCATGGGACCCTGTAAAGCAGCGGAGCCACCCTCAAGATGGAAATGGAGATGAGGGAAGAACGCAGGCTGCAGACAGAAAGTCGGGAAGCTGGCCAATCGGGAAGCCGGATGGCAAGTCTTTACACGCTTCCCGGCTAATCAGGAAGCCAGGTGGCGAGTCATTACACGTCACCTGGCTTCCTGAATGGGACTTCCGATACTCGGTAATTTATATCGGCGAGTACCGAAAAAAAATTATCGGTATTCGTACCCGGCACCAAAATACCGGTATCGGTGCAACCCTAGTGATAGCCATTCCTTACTGCTCTAGTTTGGGACATTTTCTAATGGGGACATTAGTTCTGGTTACCCTGCTGACCACCAGGGATTTCCCTCTTTTAGGAGTGATTCATATCACTTCCTGTAGTGGATATCAGACATGAAGTAAAGAGAAATCTCTCAAATAGGACACAAATTGCAAAAAAAAGCTGACAGGAGTTTTAGCCCTCCCTTACTCTATCCAAAACAAAACAAAAACTACTTTAATTCTGCAAATATAGTAATTAAATAAGAACATGGTGCCCAGCCAAGACAATTTCCTCACAAGACTAACAGAACTAGTCTCACACTTTGCAAATATTCCTTGTTATCCGTTTAGTGTTTGTAGCGCTCACCCCCGAAGGAGCCGCTGTGTCTAAATTGAGGTTCTCCTCCCTGTTTGCTCCAGCCACCGACCCTCTTGGATCAGCAACAGCACACCGACACTCACGGACAGAATGGACTCCAGTCTTAGGGTCTTTTTGTAGATTTATTTGCAAGGATTAACAGGAGAGAGGTTTTAGGATCTGTAGGATGCCCGGGTGAATTCTGCAGAGGACTGCTTCCTCTCCTAACAATCGCTAAGGCCCATAGTAACGGGATCCGGTCAGAGGGATCAAAGGTTTCTTTACCAATACTGCGAACAGCCAGGATGGTCCAATAACTTATATGAAGAAGGGTAGCTATCTCTGGATTCAGGTAAGGACCTCTGGCTTCTTCTAGAACAGACACCTGGAATAGGGTAAGGGATCTCTCTTGTGGGTCCCAGACGGACGCTCTCACCAGCTCCTCTGCGGTACCCCTCAACAAGAAGGCTCCACCTCCGGCCCAGCTTCCATCAGGTCTTTCTCAGAAGTATCTGGAATCTCTGTGCCCTCAGCATCTGCCACTTGCCAAGGAGCACTCCAGATTAGTAGTAGTAGTATCCTATTACAACAAGGCACCCAACACCTGCCACGTGTATGGGGCCCAAGCAAAGTACCTATGGTGTCCCAGGCCTCTAGGCCCCCAGCACCTGCCATGTGCTGAGGCCCAGGCCATTCATCTGTATCACAGAGACCTCCTAGGGAGAGGCCTCATGAGGGGAAGAGACCTCTGCACAGTGTCCCCAGACTTTATCACCTGCCCTCAACCATACCTCTGAGTCATCCTCCTCAGGGATTGGTCAGGGTCAGGTGCATAGTCATAGTCTGAGGATGGATCCTCCGTTACTGTATGTCAAGGCTCCCTTTTCCTCAGCAACAGGAGGAGCAATCAATCCAGCAGACTCAGGGACACCTGTAGAATGCAGAGCTCTGAATAATCAGTATCTAGACTGGTTACAATCCAGATATTCACTAGATTTAGTAGTGACATTTTAGAGGGCGCTACATGTTAATGTTCTATCCTATAATTATATTAACCCCTTAAGGACCAGTGACATCCATAGTATGTTACTGGCACCGGGCCCGTTTAAACATACTCCCGGCAGCTAAAGACGCCAGGACTATGTTTACAATTGTGGAGCCGACTGTCGGCTTTCCAATAGAAGCGATTATGTGGCTCAGCTGTCGCCCGATTGCTTCCCCAGGCCGGTAAACGCCCCCCCCCCCCCACCCTGACACCTCCGACTGTCCCATAGCTGTCAGTGCTGGACTCCTGAAGTTCAGCAATAAGTTATTGAAGTGTGAACTGCACATCAATAGCTTATTTCTAGTGTAAAGGTGACACTAGGGGTCTTTTGGACCCCCAGCATCACCTTAAAGAGTACCTGTCACTGCCAATCTG